AACACACCAGGCAAGTTGGCAAATAGACCTTTATTAGTCTGGTCAGACAGCGCTCCCCAAGCCAAGTAGCTCAGAGAGGCGGCTAGCTCAGAAACAGAGGCCATTTTATATAGGGCTGAGGGGGGTGGTTTACACTCAAAAATTACAGGAAGAGGACAAAGGCAAAGAATCAGTTGATCTGAGCTAGTGGTCATCAAGCATATACTTGACCGTCACGTACTAATGATCAGCAGATCGATTATCCATTATTCCATTTACAACTTAGATTATAATGTTCAGAACATTCAACTACAGGCATGTAAGGAGTGGCGTGATTTTTGTTGGGTCTCTGTGTTCACTACAGTTTCCATTTAGTTTCCCAGCTACTTCAAAGCAGTTACCTAACAATTCACAATTAATCATTAGTTATCCTATAAGGGATGTGGGGGAGCGACAGTCTCTAGGTCGTTTGCTGGTCAACATGGAGTTGCTCTGGTTCAGTCAGGCTCTTACAAGGAATAGGTTTAATTTACACAGGTGTTAGAGCTGAGGCATGAATGGTCTTTATCCCAGAGCAGGGTGCCCCGGGCCGGTCCTGGCCTCTGGCCTCTGCTCTCCTGAGGCAGGGCTCAGCCTGCACTTCTCAAGCCTCCAAGTCTGTTTCTTAAGAATGTGGCCAGACCCTCTGTGTGAGCCTAACTTGTTTCGTGCCGTTTCCTTACAATTTCCGGAAACTGACCAAGGCGTGTGAGCGTCAGCATTGCTCTCATCCCAGTGTAACAGGCCCAAGTAAGGTCATTGTTTACCTCTTCGTATTGTTTCCTGGCCCCTTTGGACATTGGCCCTAGTCCCTAGTGCTGAGCCCCAGGACAGGAGCACTTTGCGTGCAGGTTGCTGCCACTCGTGTCTGGACAGGTTCCACCCGGATGTGTCCAGGCGGCTGGAGAGTCTCTGACTGGCAGGCAGCCTTTCAAATTCTGCTGCCAGCGTGGGCTCTGTGTTTTTGTTTTATTTCATTTGTTTGTTTGTTTGTATTTGAGACAGGCTCTCCATATGTAGCCCAGGCTGGCCTTGAACTCCCAGTGATCCTCCTGCCTCAGCCTCCTGAGTGCTGGGAGTAGAGGTCTGCACCACCATGCCCAGCAGCTTTGTATGTGCTGCTGTGGTCTCTGCTTTCTCCAGACTCCAACACTAGGCAAGAGTTGGCTGAGCTGAGTCTCAGTGCCCCCGAGGACCCCAGCCCCGCCCGGCCTCGCACACAGCAGCAAGCAGAGGTTTGCGAGATGTGATTGACACCGCAGAGCTCACAGCCCCTAGAGGCGTGTGAGGAAGAGGTCATGTAGGGCCAGTGCGGCCTGACAGTCGGGTGCCTCTCTGCTGCCGCCCCTGCTGCAGTCTTCCTCTTCATAACCCTTTCGAAGCGTAAGAGCACCCTCAGCTTAGGAAAAGGGAGCGCACGCGTGGCTGTGAGGCTGGGGTTTGTGTCGGGAATCCTGCCATGGAGTGTTCAGGAAGAAGGGCTGGACCCTGCGCCTGCAGTTACGCATCCTCTCTCCGGGCCTCTGCCCTCCCACCATCACCTGTATTCCCCAGGGGACCAGAAAGACCCAACAGATTAAGCGGCCCCGGAGCAGCCTTCTGTCAGAGGTCCGCTGTCTGCTGGGCACTGTGGCCGTGGGATCAGAGGTGCTTACGACACTTACAGAATGGGAAAAATAGCTTGCCAGCTACTCCTCAGACAAAGGGCTAATACCTAGAACGTATAAAACTTTTAAGAAATTAGGCCCTCCCAAAATAAAAGGCCCGGTCAAAAAATGGGTATGTGACATAGGCACTTCATAGAAGAGCCACAAGTCAGCACCCCGTCTCCCAAACACAACGTGTGGTTCGCAGTGAGGCGCTACTGTGCCATGGAGAGGAACGGGAGGCATCTGTGGGAACATGGACGCACCTCGAGACCACATGTTAAGTGAAATAAATCAGACACAGAGCCTTAAATGTCACGTGGCTTCTCTGGGACGCCCAAGCTGTAAATAAGGACAAACTAAAAGATAAGCGGAAGTAGGGCGCTAGGTCTTCTGCAGAAGGAGGGGGACCAAGAGATGGGGTGTGGGAAGGATGGGGGTGTGCTGTGTGCGGGCAGCGACTCCACAGTGAGTAAGCGTGGCTCAAAAACGAGAATGTAAGGAAACACAGTTAGGACCGACCACTGGCTGAGCCACAGTTTGGGGGCCCAAGATGGAGGCCAAGCAGAAGAACTTAGCTCCCATGCTGGGGTTTCTGTTTCGGTTTCTGTGGCCCTGGGTATTGAACCAAAGGCTTTGCACGCACTCCATTCCCAACCTCCTTTTATCTTTTTATTTTGACACACATTCTCACTAAGTCCTCCAGGCTGGGCTTGAACTCACAGCGATCCTCCTGCCTCAGCCTCCTGAGTGCTCATCCCGTGAGTACCTTTTGTTGTGCTGCTGTCATCCTTGATAAAAACCACGGCTCTTGGGCTGTTCTGTGTGCTATTGCAATTCTTTGCTGTAACACTTCCCTCCAGTACATCTCCAAACACACTTCCTTCTCCACTTCCTTTCCATCTGCTGGGACATTTAATGACAGGGAAATCACTTTGGTCTGCCCTTCCCAGAGACTGTCCTCCAACTTCCTCTGTGCAGAGCAGATCACCTATGAGCCCTGGGTGGAGAAAAACTGACTAATGAGGGCCAGGGATTTAGCTCAGTGGTTCCACTCCTGCCTCGCAAGAGCAAGGACCCGAGTTTGATCCCCTGTACAAAAAACAAAACAAAACAAAAACCTGAGAAATGAAGCAAAAAATAGTTCACAGTAAAAACTCCAAACTAGACAGGTGTGGTAGCATGTGCTGTAATTCCAGCCCTGGGACGGCTGAGACAGGAGGAACTCTGAGTTTGAGGCCAGCCTGGGCTATGTTGCAAGGCCTTGGCTCAAAACACCAAAAAGAGGAAACTGACTTGAATAGTACAGGGGAAGCCCGGGTCGGCCCTGGTGCTTCTTCGCAGGTAGAATTCAGAATGAACAATTGGCGAGGTTGTGCTCCCAAGGTGGGATGGCGCTGTCACCCACCCTAGCGAGGTGAAGATGATGGAAGCCACAGGTGCAGCCGCAGGGAGGTAGCCCTGGACAGCTGTCCACTCTGCTCTGTGCAGTCAGGGAGGGAGCCGGGATCACGACACGACAGCGCTGCACTTTCCCTGCTTCCCCCAGACTCACTTCTTCATCTTAGAGAAATCGAGCTTGAAAATTGTTTATCTGAGGTTTAGCCATTGATTTATTTTTGCTTCAATGTCTTTTTCTTGGTTAAACTAATATTGTAATATAAAATCCTTTAAAAATTAGCTGGTGAGTCATATGTATGTTTATATGTATTTTTCGGCACTGGGGATTGAACCCATGGCCTCAAGCAAGCTAGGAAAGCCCCGGGCCACTGAGCTGCCCCCCCAGTGCCATTTGTTTATCCGTGTTTATGGTTTCTTTGAGACGGGCTCTCACTATGGCGTCCAGGCTGGCCTGGAACTCACTGAGTTGCCCAGACTGGCCTCAAACTTGTGATCCTTCTGCCTTAGCTTCTCAATCTCAGCACTGGAGGCTGAGGCAGGAATATTGCAATGAGTTGGAGGCCATCCTGGGCTACATAGTGAGGCCCTATCTCAATTTAAAAACAAGGAAGCGGGCCAGCACTTCAAGGGAACAAAGCCTCACTTCTCTACCTCCATCCTCCCCAGGCTTTTTCCCCTCTTTTTATTCTTTCCAGCACCGGCTTTGAAATCAGGAAACCCTAAGCCATCAGGGCCCAGGCTGAGCAGCATGCCTGGATGTTTAGTTTGTCAGAACCCTGCCCAGGCTGCTATTAGCATTATTTCCTTCTGTGGAGCTGCAGAGTGAACCCTGCCACCAAGCTGTACTCTTAGCCCGGGGATTATTTTCATTTCTTTTCCTCTGTGGTGCTGGGGGTGGGATCCAGGGAAACTAACACTGAGCTACATCACATTTTCTTTTCTGTTTTTGCTTTTGTTTTTTTTTTTTTTTTTTTTTTTTTTTTTTTTGTGGTATTGGGTATCAAACTTGGGTCCTTGTGCTTGCAAGTCAGGCAGCTAAATTTTTCTTTTTCTGAGACAAGGTGTCAGTAGCCCTGGCTGTCCTGGAATGTGAAGTCCTCCTGCCTCAGCCTCCCCAACAGCTGGGATTACATCAAGCCAAGTTGTTAGTTTTGAATACGGAACTTAACATATACCGTCTTCTGCTCTGAGCCAGCCAGTGGAGGCCAAAGGAATGCGCTGTCTTCCCCAGAGCTGCAGAATGGTGTTCTAGAAAGAGCGCTGTGGTGCCACAGGCAAAACGCCAGACCCCCACTGTTGGACAGCCCTGGGTGTGGCTCAGGGAGAGCAGGTGCTCAGTGCACCCCAGGCCCTGGCTTCCACCCCAGCATGGAAACCAAAACCAGACAGACAAGCAAAAAGTAAAAAGCAAGCTCTTTTCAGGGGCAGGAGTTTTTTGCAGGGCAGGGTACTGGGTATCAAACTTGGGACCTTGCGCTTGTGAGCAGCAGAACCACGAGCTAAATCCCTGGCCCTAGGGGCAGGAACTCACAGGAAAAGAGGAAGGAAAAAAGGAGGGGAGAAAAAAAGGAAGGAAAGAAGGGAGAGAGGGAGAAAAGGAAGGAAAAAAAGAAAGGAGGAAGGAGAAGGAGGGAAGGAAGGAAGGCAGGGCTGTCTAGAGCCTTCTCTGGTGAGCCCTGGCCGCCTACCCGCCTGCCCTGCCCGGTGCACTCCCCTTCCTCCGGCCACCCAGGGACGGCCTGGCGTCCCACAGTTGTGCACTCAGGCAGCGTGCAGCAGAGGGCGCCCTCCAGAGTCCCAGCTTGTTTATATCAGCATCTTGTGATGGCCCCTATATATTAAAAAAATCTTTCCGTTATTTGACCTCAAATGCATAATTCTGTTTCCATGCTTTTAGCATTCTGCGAATCTACATTTTATTTTGCTATGGTTAAAGATTTGGCAACAGAACAGGTATTTTTCCATGCAGCGTTCCTGGACACTCAAGAGTTTTTGACTTTTGAATTTACTGCAGGGTCCGTGTGTGAGAAAACACTACAACACAAGGGAGTTGGCAGTGCAGTGCCGCTGTGGAGGCACTGTGAGCCTGGGCACCGGATAGTTTTCATTCATCTTGAAATGTGCAAATGACTCACAGATGTGTGGCCCTGGCAGCTGTTCCCACTGGGCTGACGCAGTGGCGCTGACTCAGAGAGGAACTCATGCCAAAGACCCCTGGCAGGAGCTCCAGTTCCCGAGATCCCCAGCCAGGGGGGTGTTTGTTGTTGGCAGGGTGACAGTGACGAACAGATAAAGGGTCAGGCCAGAAGGCTGGGGCAGGAGCCTGGGTCCCCCACTCCAAGGCTATTTTCAGAGCTGCTTTTGGAGAGACGCACCAACCTCACAATTCCTACCGCTGATTCACCTGTGAGGGGTTTCTGATTACAGAGTGGTTTTCTTTTTGCTTTACCAATCCAACTGGCTTAGGAAGAAAGCTGGAGCACAGAGCTGCAGTCTGGAAAGGGCCTCTCCCCTCTATTCAGAAGGCCTGGGCTTGGGGTCACCGCTGGCTGCAGTGCCGAGTCCTGGTTCCGAAGGCCCAGGTGGGAGCTGTGAGAGACAAAGCTGGGCGCAGCTGCAGCTCGTGGTACGGTGCACTCAGGCTCTGCTAGGGGTCAGGCCCCGGAATCGAGATCTCTGCCGGGTGGCTCGTCTTGGCATGAGAAGATGACTTACAGCCACCTGTCATCAGGCGACACCTCGGCCCCTCCCTGAAATGTCTGTCTCTGAGTGGAGCTAGTTTCAGGGGGAACAAACAATTCCTGTGTGTCTGTGTACTGTGTTGCCCAGGCTGGGTATAAACTCCTGGGTGCAAGGGATCCTCCTGTCTTATCCTCCAGGGTAGCTGGAACTATAGGCACATGTCACTGCACCCAGCAAGGGGACAAACAGTTCTGATCTCAGTGACCATCCAAGGGACACAGCACAGGAGGCTGGAGGGTCCAGGTCTGCCTTGTCCGGTGCCCATGGGTGAGCTGTGGGGAAGGGTGGTGCCCAGAGGGTGGGGTCCTTAGACTACCCTGCCCCGACAGGCATGGTCACCTTCCGTTACTGCAGCCAGGACGCTCCACAGACGAAGTCGGGTCACACTGAGGAGCTCTTTAGGGACTTGGGACAACTTGGCTGTGCCCATGGTGCCCAAGAAGCTTTTCTGCTTTTCTCAGTGGATGCTGCCCACCCAACTCAACCCAAGATGCCCAGCGGGCAAGGCCAGGACTTGCTGTCGTCACCCAGGATCACGTTGCGGCAGCTGAGGCCATGCCTCACACAGACCTGTGGTGTAGGGGGCCTGGGCCTCCACCTGCTTCCTTGATGGCCTCACTGGTCCCTGCCTCATTCACCTGACAGCGCTGGCCAAGCCCCCAGGACATTTCCATGCTGCATGGCCCTGGGCCCACTGAGACGGCGGATGCACTGCGGACTGGGCATTCTGAGGACATGTCCACCGGGTACTTTCTCCTGTCTGTGGCTAAGACGCAGGGCAGTGTCCCTGGGGTTGTGATAGCTGGGGACCTCCCCCATCCAGGACAGGGAGGGAGCTGAGCCCAGAACCCAGAAAGGGCCAAGGATGGAGGTACACATCTGTCACCCGAGGACCCGGGAGGCTGAGACAGGAGGATTACTGGGAGTTGGAAGCCAGTTCAAGGCCAGCCTGGGCTACATAGCAAGATGCAGCCTCAAAAAACAAAAACAAAATGGTGGCAAGGGTGAAAGAAGCAAGCTGTGTCCCTGGGGAGCCTGGCACAGATCTCAGACCTCACTCCTCTGTACCCCAAGTCCTAACAGATGCCTCCAATCGGCCAGACGCCCCTGGAAGCCAGGAAAAGAGGGTGCCCATGCTTGAGCCCATGCTGGCATCAGAGCCAGCCTCAAATGGTCGCACTCCTGGAGCCGCTGAGGGGACACTGAGGCAATTTCATCTATTGCACTGTTTCCACTGCTTTCCTTCTGCGGCTGTGAGGAGGAGAAATTTCCCCTACAGACTCTGAAAGCCACAGCAAGGCAGCCGTGGACAGGGCCACAGGACGTACAGGAGGTCACCGCCTGGGGCGTTGCTTCCCCACTGGGCCAGCGTGAGCAGGGTAGGGACAGCGCACCATCCGAGGGACCCCAGGCCTGGAGAAACACACTGGGCTGTGGTTCCTGGGCACCAGAACAGACAGTGGTCGGTGATGGCTCCCAACCCAGAACACAGTGGCATTCAGGCTTCTCGCTGAAGTGTCGCTAACCGGAAGTCTGGACCACATCCCAGGAGGAAAGGCTGCAGCCTCCGCACCTCAGATGGACCTCATCTCTCACGGCTGTCTACCTGGGTCCCGGAGGGAGCCATCACCAGCCACCGTCCATCCGGTTTGGGCAGGCCTGTCAGGTGGCCAGGAGGGGACGTGGCAGGTGAGCGCCACCACCCCTCTGAGGGCCGCTCCTCCAGGGGTGTTTCCAGAGCCCCAAACAGCTACGGCGAAGCCTTTTCAGTAATGGGTGCTACGGAATAAAAACACCAAGACACCATTTTGAAACATGGATCAATACAAGTAGTGACCCAGGGAGAAGCGCTAGAGCTGGCAACTCATCCCTCAGGTCAGAAAGAGCCCGGGACCCCAGGAACGATGGCCCAGGACTCTGCATAGCCTTCAGGACCCGGATGCTGGGGGGACCTGGTGTGGTGGCAGGACTGAGTGAAGGCAGTCACCAGCCAGGAGGCTGAACCCCAAGGCAAGACAGAGTGCACCACCCCAAGACAGGGCCTCGAAGTCCCCAACCTCCTATGACAGGGCTGAAAGTTGGGCTCTCCTGCCTGTGTGGGGCAGAGAACCCAGAGTCTCCAGGGATGGCGCTGCCTCCTGGGAACAGGGACAAAGACCTGCTCCGGCATGACCTGCAGGACCCCCACTGAGGCCTGAGAATGAACATTACTGGCTTCTTCAGAACTCCCCTCCCCCACCCAGCTTTCTGTAATAAGATGGAGGATGACCTACCAGCCCATCCTAAATCCGTCGTAAAACACTCAGAGGCCAAGGATGCGTGGGATCCAGTCGAAGCTCTGGGCCTGGAACTGCTGTCCTCCGGGCTGGCCAGGAGCTGTGGACGGTGCTGAGAGACGACTGCAGAGCCAAGCCAAGCTGTCCAGGTGGGAAGAAAAAGGACTCTAAGGGACCCAGGGCAGGAGAGGGGGTGTAGGGAAAAGGAAGGGGATGAAGAAAGAACTGAAATGTGTTTGTTGGTGGTGCTTTGCTTTTGTTTCTGTGTAGCCCAGGCCATCCTCCCACCTCAGCTTCCTGAGTCTCAGGAGTACATTGTGCACCTCACACCCAGCAAGATGCGTTCTGTATACACAGCAGCTCCCCACGATGTTACACTGTTTTGTTTTGGGTACCAGGGATCGAACTCAGGACCTTGTGCCTGCAAGGCAGGTGACGGTAACCCCATGATGAATGCGGTCGTGTGCACTGCAAACTTGCACTCACAGTTCTGTGACCCAGGCAGTGAAGTCCCTCCTCGTTGGCCACAAAGCCAGGCAGGACCAGCAGGAGCAAAGGGGCAGGAGAAGATGGTCCCTTCAAGTAAGGAAGCACTGGGATTATCCCCCCAAGCAGCGTTCCTCCCCACAAGGAAAGTGGGGTGTGGTTCTGGGGGAGCCCTGGCCCAGCAGGGCGGGCGCATTCCTGAGCATGCTCAGTTTCAGGTCATAAATCACAGGTTCCAAACAGCAAAGCAAGGCAGTTGGCACGTTTCTGGGAGCTTAGTCCTTGCACGCATTTCCCAAGCCTCCCTGGAAACAACAACTCGGGGAGCAGCAGTCCCACCCCCAGGGCTGCGCCCCAAGTGCCTGGCTCCTCTGGTGGTCAGCAGCCTGAGGCCTCCCCAAGTTTCAAACCATTAAATTCCCTTCCCTGCAAAAGCAAAGAAATCACAGGACAGCATGAGCATGAAGAAGCTGCAAAGAGACAGGAGTGGAACTTTTCTGTTTATCAAACTGCTGGGTCCTGGGACACGAAGGGAGCGTGGGGAAATCTCTGGAGCGCTCAGAAAGGCTTCTTAAAGGGCTTTGGAAACTTTCCCCTCAGCTTAGCAGATGCCAAGCTAATTAGACAGTATTTCCATCCAGCTGTCAACCAAGTCTTCTAGAGATCTTTATTAGACAAGACTGTGTGGTCCTTTTTCACTGTGAAAGCAGTGAAAAGAGACATCCAGGCACCAGAATGTGTCAACCGAAATACGCCTCATGGGCAAGGGTAATTATTTTACGGGGAGGAGGTGTTGAGACAGGATCTCACTGTGTAGTTCAGGCTGGCCTTACACTATTGGTGATCCTCCTGCCTCAGCCTCTTGAGTTACTGAGACTTTGCCATGCCCGGTGAAGATGATTATTTTTAGAACCTGGGAAGCCAGGCTTGGTGGCACATGCGCATAATTCCAGCACTCAGGAGGCTGAGGCAGGAGGATTGCCTCAAGTTTGAGGCCAGCCTAAACTACATAGTGAGGCTCTGTCTCAAAAACAAGCAAACAGGGAACAGTGGAGAAGCTCTGAATACAAAGTATAGGGTAACTTCTGGAACAGAATTTACATTTATGAGTGGAGTGTGCACACTTCCTACCCATTGGCTTTAGCTGAAGAGTTCACTCACCTCAGACTCTCTCCCTCGGACCTCACTCTGATTCTGGTGGGTGTTGTCCCTGCACAAGAGCCCGTGTATGCACAGGTGTGCCGCACATGTGGCTGGGCCGCAGAAGGGAGGGAGGCACCATCTTCGTGGAAACACATTGCAGTGGCAGAAACCACACTCTGAGTCACAGACCTCGGGTGGCAAACGTTCATTCCAGTGCTCCCCAGAGGACAGCGGGAACGGGGCGGGCGGAGGGCTCTGCCCACCCGATGCTCCTTGTACCCACCCTGCCCTCTCCCCTCCACATCCTCTTCAGCCTCCCAGAGGCGCCACTCAGGCCTGAGCCTCGGAAGGACTGCATGGCCAGGCAGTGGGCGGAAGGCTACCACTGTTCCTCTGTCACCCGCTGTCCTCCAGCCCCATCTCCCAGGCGGGAAAGGTAGTGGCCAGGTGACACTGCTGTGGGCAGCAGGGACTTGAACGTGCACTGTCCCCCTGGGCAGAGCTGGGGCAGTGGCCAGCCGGGACCAGGACTTCCGGCTCACCCCATGGTGACCTCAGCCGGCCACAGAAGGGAGGGAGAGGTGGTGGGGCCTGGCAAGAAGCCTGTGCCTTCCGGGAGGGCCCAGATGGAGGCAGAGCCTCCAGAGAAGCAGCCAGGGCAGACATCCGTCCCTGTCCGCCTGTCCATCTTTCCAGATGGGCTGGTTTAAGGGCTTCAAGGGATGTTCAGAGTTTCCTCCCGAAGCAAAGGGACTGCAGACAGATACATTGGTCCGCACAGACGCACAGCAGCCAACACAACAGAACGCAAGAAGGAGCCAAGCCAGGCGTGGGGGTGCTCGCATGTAACCCCAGCACTTGAGAGGCTGAGGCAGGAGGATCGTTGTGAGTTCGAGCCCAGCCTACACAGCTGCACAGTGAGACCCTGTCTCAAAAAAGACAAAAGCAAAGACAAGCAAAGCCCCATCACAGAGTCACAGCTTGTGGCTCCTCTCCTGGCCAGCCTGCTGCTTCAGGGACAACCAGAAGGGGCTCAGAGACTCTGGGAGAGGGGAAAGGTCAGGGAGCCCTGGGTCCTTTTTTTTGCCCTGATTTTTCTTTAATACAGAATGCATCGAGAGAAGCCTGCTCAGTGCTCTCGTCTGTCCTTTGTCAGCACTTTGGAACCCCTCAAGCCTAGGTCTGAGGCTGGGTGATTGTTAGAGGTAGTGGCGTTAACTTCCTAAGATTGGGTTAATGCACACACTCAAGACACTTGACTTTTAACTCACAGTTCAGCGTCTGTTTCCCTCCTATGGGAGCTATCGCTCTGGGTTGTGGTTTTAAATCCAAGATGTGGGAAGAACGAATGTCTTTTTGTTATTGATGCTTCTTTCTCTTTTCTTCTACTGTTCTTTCTCTCTCCCCTCCTTCATTTTTTTTCCATTCATTTACTTGTCTGTTCTCTTTTCATTCTTTTTTTTTTTTTCCGGCACTGGGGATTGAACTCGGGACCTTTCTCTTGCCAGGCAGGAGCTGGCACCAGTGAGCTAAATCCCCAGCCCTTTTTCATTCTTTTTAATTAGAGCTTAAAAGAAATAGGTTATTAAAGGAATCAAAGTCTAGTAAACATCAAAACAGCTCACAAAGTCTTCTGTATAATGATGTCAAATAACCAACAAAAATCCCAGACATACGCCCATGGTGCTGCTTTATTTAAGCGATGGCGTTCCTCGATGCTTTTGAGGTGCATCCTTCAGGGTTCTAAGGTGGCTTCTTCTTCCTCCCCTTGCCCTCCCCACCTCCCCTCTTGCCTCTTCTTCCTC